GCACAAAATGTTTTAAAAATAATTGGTATGATAGAAATGTAATTTTACACTTTTTTTGTTGTTGTTGTTTTTTCGAGACAGGGTTTCTCTGTGTAGTTTTTGCATATACTTTTTAAAATAAGTTTTGTTGGGCCGATTGCAACATTCTTATCATTTCTCCCCCTCCCCACAATTTTTTTTTGTTGTACAGAGTCTTAACAATTATTCAAGATGTATTTTTAAATAATTTTTCTCGAAATTTTTCAAGAAATTCAAGCCAAGCATTTCCTATACTCTAGGATTGCCCACTAGAATATATTCTCACAGTAATATGCATACACATCCTCACAACGAAATATCTAAGTTCTTCTTTTGTCAAATCCTTTCTTAACAGTTATGCCCACTACTCATCACACTTAATTCTATACACAAATTTCTGTAAAGAATTTTTAGAAAAAAATATTCTAACTGTAGGCCTAATTCTCTCATTCACAGACTTCCTTCAAAAATACAAAAGTTTTTGTACGCTACCAATAACATGTCCAAATCAAAGCTGACAAATCTGAACTATCGTTTATGTATATATAGTTCCTTACTGACACCTCTGTTTTCTCCAAGACTCTGGGAGGCAGCTGAGAAAAAACTGTGCAGTCTGCATCAGGAGGCTTACCACAGGTGGTGGGTTATTTTCAGGCAACAGTACCTTTGCAAACATGCTGTGGAATATGGTCCAAGAAACTCCTAACAAGGAGAGATAAGCTGGCACATAGATTAACACAATCCAGCTAAAAGTCACCTGCAGCATGTGCTAACACATTTCACCATAAAAGTGACAGGCTACTAAAGTATCTGAAGCCTCATCAATACAACAGGACTGTCCATAAGGCCAGAGATAGCAGTTGCCATGGTTACTATCACCCACTTTTATCATGAAATTACTGTCATTACCCTGAAGTTTCAGGTACTTACTTAAATGTTAAAAAGGAGAGTTCAGTGTTCTGTCGAGGGAGAGAAATCAAGTGCTGCCTGATTTGTAAGCATGCCACTTTAGAAATGCACATGGTTAACAACACTTGGATCTGCAGCAGGAAAAAAAAAATCAATTCCTTTCTGCTGCTCCTGTTCCTCAAGCACTGACAGTTTGTATTTTCAATGCAGCCAAAACAATAAAACAAAACCCATCTTTTTGGCCTCTGTGTCTGAGTTATGTTTTTCCCCAAGGCCCACAAACAGAGTCAAAATAAAACTATTAGGCCCCACCCCTTCCTACCTACATATTACTGGTTTGATTTTTCCTCTACATTAAAAAGCAGAAAATGTTACCTTAGTGGATTCAAAAATACAGCAAAGAAGAGTTTCCTGAAACTGTACATGAACTCTTTTTTTTTTTTTTTTTTAATGAATAAAAGTAAGGGGAATAGAGGAGAGGGACTTGCAGAATGTTGGGAGGAGAATAGAGGGGGTGGATTCAAAATGCCATAGAGTCTGTGAATGAAAGTTACTCCAGCAAAGCAGTAGTGATGAGTGAACCCTGTCTCTACATGGGAAGACTCACCCCCCACAGCCAGGCACCCCAATGACAGACAAGCAATTGGAATGTTGTTCTTCAGAGTCTATCCCAAGAGGGGCATGGTAATTCATGCCTGCAGACCCAGCACTTGGGAAACTGAAGCCTGAGGATTACCAAAAATTCTAGGCCAGCCTGAGCTCCTTAGCAAGACCTCACCTCAAAAAGAAAAAAAGAGACTATTCCAACATTGTTGCAGATGAAAACTATTCAAAGAATTATATAAAAGTCTATAAAAAGAAAATCTGTATATACATAGGAGCATACAAAGAAAAAACTATGCTCTTTAGAAATAGTTATCCAGGGGGAAGATGGCTCAGTGGTAAGAGCACTAGCTGCTCTTGCAGAGGATCTGGGTTTAGTTCCCAGCACCCATGTGGCAGATCACAACTGCCCATAACTCTAGCACTAGTGTATCTGACACCTCTTCTGGCCTCCTTGGGCACCAGGCATGCACATGGGTGCACAGACAGACATGTAGGCACTGATACATACACTTAAAATAATAACAAATAAATCTTTAAAGAATAAATAATTATCTATAGTAAGTTTTATGCAGTATTAACATACTACCACTTAAAAATAAATACCAAAGTGCCAAAAATAAACACTTGGTGTGGTTAATATGATCAAGACATATTGCTACACTTCTAAAGATGACTTAGGCCCACATAAAAATCCACAGGCAAATGCTCCTGAGAAGTCAACATAAACCCAGCACAAAACAATACGAAAATTCAAATGTTTCACCTATCTGAATAGACACATAAAGGAATTCTAGCAAAGGTCAGAGGCCTAAACTTTAATCTCATCCAGCCTCCTTTTGGATAGAAGACTAATCATAAAAGCCTTCAGCAATAAAACACTAAGTATACAAAAATTTAAAGGCATACTGATGTAACTTTAACCTCAGAATTCCTTTACAAAATAAATAAATAAAATAAATAAATAAAAATAAATAAATAAATAAATAACCTGTGTTCACCATGGCATAAAAAGTTACCATCTTCATGAGAAGTTTCCTTTTGATCTAAACAGTTTTATGCCTTTCTTGCCCTTCCCAAGAGCAAGTTTCTATATTTACTTTCTAACTTGGGCTATTTCATGAAGAACACTCATTTATAAAATTCAGAACACTACACTCCTAAACACAAGGGTTCCCAATTAACTCTATTTAACTTAACTTTACCATTCCAAATTTGTAATCAGAGTCTATGAAGAAAGACACTTTTTGGTTATTTTTACACAGACACGCACAGATACACACACACAAGCATTTAAGCCTCTAGAACTGAGTAGTCATTTCCTCACATAACCTTCTAAAAGGAGAAAACAAAATAACATATATTTACCTAACACTAATGCACAGCAATGTACATTTCACTGTGAAACAAGGAAGCACTTTTCAGAAAGTTAGCAGTCAATCAAAACTTTAGCAGGGACATTTGTTACTCTGTGTATTAATAAAAGGCTACAAAGAATCCAGAAACTTAAATATTCACTAAAGTCAACACTACCACACAACAGAAAAAGGAAGAAAACTTTTAATAGGGGACATACATTTCACACTATCTTCAAAAGAAAAAAATGATTTTTTTTTAATTATGGAAAACTGCCTAAGCAGCATTTTTAAAAAAAAGCTTCAAAAGTGTTAACAAAAAGATTTGGGGTAATGGGGGGGAGGGGGAGAGAGGGTTTCATAGTGTCCAGCATGTACTTTTAAGCATTAATGTCCTAACTGATATGGAAGAACTTAGCATTTTAAAACAGAACTTTGTTTATGTTTTAATCCATTATCTATCTTATCAACAATGTCTACATGGCTTCTGGCAATTTACAAAGAACTTTCACATGTACTACTTAATTTGATTTTATTGAAAAAAAAAATACAATACTATATCTACAAAATTGAAAGCTGGTCCATCCAATTTTCTCTGTGTTTCTAAGTTTCAAAACTTTGATACAAAACTTTACAAGCAATCACAGTAGCTTATTTTGACTCACAATCAATTCATCTAACACTAAGAAGTTCAAAGGACCATGTATCACGAAGGCCATGAAAATGTTAAAGTGGCTACTATTAGTTTTCTACAGTCATTGTTAAAAGTTACTAATGGACACACCAGCAAAGATATATTCACACAGGTGTAACTTTCCTTCAAGTTTATATTCCTTAAGACAAGGTCTTAGGATGTAGGCCAGGCTGCCATGACTTTCAGAGTACCTGCTTCCCAAGCTTACTAGGATTACAGGCCAATCAAGTATTGGCATTACAAAGCACTCCACTTAATTTCACATATAGTTTAAAAATCACAGTCTTTGAAAAAAATCATTTCCCCCCCCCCACAACATCCCATTTTCCAAAAATGTCTGTATATCCTATTTCTAGTATCATGTTTGCAAGACCTAAAGCCTGACATCATGCCACTTATTTTTGTTTATTGCAACTTCAAAGAATTTTTTCAAATTCTACACTCCACATTATCAATACCACACTAACTCCCTTTAAAAGAAAATAATCCTAACAGCACCCTACTCTTAACCCCAACACCCACAATAACAAACTTATTCTGCATACTATCATAGGCGGGTACAAAGCAGATTTCCAAGAGCCAAGGCTATTTATTAAGAGTATTTTGAAGCAGACTTACTCTAAATCTTCCTGGAACTTGACTCCAGTTGCTTACGAGCTAAGAGAGCTCCAGGAAGTAGCAAGACCCTCACAATTAGAGATTGCCTTTAACTTGTGGAGCACCTCCTGCTGGACGGGCCAGAGAGCTTCATGTAAACAGACGGGTTTCTGAAGCAGCTCCTTCCAGATAACTGAACAGGAAAAAGAACTGGCCACTGAAAGCCAAAGGAAACCGAGTCCCCATCGTCACTTACATCCCGGTAAAATAAAGTATGGCCCAGGCAGGTGTCTTTTCAATGTATTATTCTTCCAGCTCCATAAAGATTTGCCTAAGTCCAAAGTTTGACCACCTTCACTGTGTGAAGTCATCTAAAAATCTTAAGTTAAAAATGTCTTCAAGAGCACTTCAGGAAAAAAAAAAAATAAAAAAAATAAAAAAAAGATTTTTAAAATAGGCAACCAAGTAATGCCAGTCAAAATGTACATACTGTGCTACCAAAAACCAAAAGTCTCTAGTAAAGAAAGCCCCTAGAACAGTTCTAACATGTTAGTCAGATGTTTGTGCTTTGAGAATTCTCTGCACTATTACTAGAGTCTTCACTTAAGGATAGCAGCACACATACTCAAGAGTTGAGGGCTGAAATTCTTAATAAACATGTGCATTACTACACTCAAAAATTCCTCTTTGCCACCAAACATGTCCTGAGATTTTTTTTTTTAATGTATTCTTAGACATTTAAAATGGCCCTCGGTAAGCTAGTGTTAAGCTCACAACAGATTTCATACACATGTGAAGACAGAAGAAAACAGCAAGGAACTTACCGAAATTAAAATGAGTAACAGTATTCCCAGGAAATTTTCGGTCATGCTTTCCTACAAGGCTGTAAACCAAGTAGATGGTAAAACTTTGAAAAGGGGGAGGGGGCTAACCTTCAAAAACCAATAGGAGAGCTGACCTACTTATTTCTACTGCCCAACTGTGAGGAAACATGAAATGTAAACAAATAACATAAAGACTTTTCCAAAAAGTAGCCTTACACTTCTTAGCCTCAATCTGAGCCCCCTGAACAGGCCCTCAATAAAGCTACGGATGATGCTAAAGATCTCTCTAAAAGGTGACCCCCCCCCCCCGCCCGGCGCGCGCGCGCCCCCAAAGAGCCACCATAAAGAGCGTCTGCCAAAGGGCTTCCTTCCTAGAATGCACAACTGCCTTAAAGGAAAAAAGGAAAGAAAAAAAAAAACCTCCAGCCAGCCCAAATGAATCTGATTCTAACATTCAGCTATCAATTATTAATAAATAAATGCCCTTCCCTCTCTAACTTCCTCAGCTCAAGACTCTACATTCCTGATACCTACCATTAGGCATAACTAGCATCCCAGCTATGGAGTAAAATCTTAGAAGTAAAAAAAAAAAAAAAAAAACCAGCCACAAAGTTCACTGTCAAGGCCAGTGCTGAGGCCCACACATGCCGAGACCTTAAAATCACATTTGAGATTCTAGAAATCCACACTCCCGAAGACATCATTTAAAAACAACACAATGTGGACGTGCAGAGGGAGATCCTCTACTTCAAGACCTAAACAAAGAATATTTCAACATATGACCGGAATATGATGACACCGGATTCACCCACGAAAACAAAACCTGTCTACCATTAGCCGCCGTACCCTCATCTCAACAACTCAACTACTTAGAAATCACTCCCAGCACATCTACACCCCACAATCGGCATGTGGCCTCCTCCCGGGGTGCAAGCCACAAGACAAAGTTGAAAGGAGACCTTTCTCGCCCGGTGCCCCCATGTCCACATCAAACCCCTCCCCTGCCAGGGCCACCTTGCAGCTACCCACCATTGCGAGCGTGGTCAAGGGAGGAGGAGGAGGAGGAGG